GACAATTCTTCGCCAAGTCACTGGGGTCTGCTACATGTGCAGCAAATGCACCAATCTTCTCACAAACCAATGCACCAATCGTCGCACCTTTCTCACCAAACCAATCAGGCCGCTTACAGTTTGTCCGCCCGATGGTCTCTAAGGCAGCAGCCGTCACCTGGTTACGAAGGTGGTGCCTACTGTGGCTATGCATTCCACATCACGCAGTCGTGCAGCCATCGCCTTCGCCAGCTCAATACGTTTCGCCACAGTACCGAGGGAGAGAATGTTAAATGTACGCGGACTCACGGCGGGAGTGCAATACATGGATTTACGAAAATATATCTGCAGTTTGGTCCGCACCAATTTGTGACCAGTGCCAGACTCAGCTCCACGCAGTACACGTGTCATGCGAACTTCACGCATATCACCCTGACGTGCGATGACATAGTCGAGCAGGTGAGCGTGACCACTCCGTGGGTGCGTCCAAGTTGCCATATTACTCGCACTCAGTGCAAACCGAGTGTTCGTGATCGTCAGGCCGTGAGTGGCACATAGTGCGAGCAGTCTGTCACCGTTCGCATTCGCTAAACCAATGCTATGCGCACGGATGACATCTGTCCACACCGATGCATCACGCCCAACGCGCGTGTTGAAATCACTCAGCAGAAATAGTCGGTCGCTTCTCGGCACAGACCGTATCACGAAGGAACGCTGAGTATAGACTTGATCACGCGTATCATCATGATAACACATGGTCGGACCGTACATGGTTATAAAAGTGGCAAACTTACCTCTTCCGAGTCGTAAACGAACGGTCATTAGTCGCGCGCTGATGCCTGTTTCCTCACCCACCAACTGGCCATTTAGGCGATCGGACAGTACAAATCCGACCCTATGTTCACGTGGTGCTGAAGTAGCGTTGCCCACTCAGTAAAATGTGTAGCCAACACCAGCTTCATGCAACTTACCTTGCTCAGTGAGCCCAGTCTCACTGAGCGCCGTAACATCGATGTTGTAGCGGGTCAGTTCCATCGCGACCAGTGCAGTGCGTCACTCAGGACGCTCACTCGAGTTCCGGTTCAGTAGTGTGCGCACGTTCCGGTAGCCGATGTTGAGTGCTTTGCGCGCAGGCATGTGCTTGCATTGGTGGGCAATCGCACGCGAGGTGGCCGTTGTGCTTCGGAGGTTTGCTTGATTGACTCCGCCCAGCTCCTTTCACACAATAGTTTGACACAAAATGCAATGGGGAGCAAATCTAGCTCGGGAATGTGATTGCAGAGACGGATTGGCATGCGCTTGACAGCCGTCACACGCAGCCTTTGAGGTACTGGAATGACCCATTTGTGTTTTGCGACCGTAGTATATATATATATATATATATATATATATATATGAGAGATGGTATATCTATGCTGCTATTGTTGTGCCATGGGCTCATGTCCTGGACGCCTCCTCGTGGCAACAGCTGGATGGGAGTTGGGTTACGCCCTTCGCCTAGCTATGAGTGAGGACACCAATCCGCATGAGTCAGTGAAATGATCGTGTGCTGGTCCCCGTGGCTTTCGGGTGTACATTGAATCGAAGGCTTTGGTTGAGGACCCGAGTCGTTGTCTTGTCAGGTGTGAGTACCCTGACAGTATCCTAGTCCATCCTCTTCGGAGGTTAGGAAGTGCTCAATGGCCTGCTTTCCGTAAAACCTAACCATGGGAGACAACACGTCTACGGGTTATAAGCTTACCGATCGATTGTCGTAGAGCACGTGAGTCACGCATTGTCTCTGACGGTGGGAGGGCACCTCCGGGTGTTCAATGGTTTGCTACTGCCCGCCACAAGCCAAGCAGCTCCTGGTCAAATTGGCGTAAACCCACCACTCCCCCTGCTTCTGGTCGTGCTCGCAGGTGTGTATCCTACTACGGCCGCAAAACATATATGGATCGTTCCAGAACCTCAAAGGCTGCGTGTGACGGCCGTCAATCAGATCCCAATTTCTATCTGCAATCACGTTCCTGAGTTGGATCTGCTCCCCACTGCCTTATGGGTCAGGCTACTGAGCCAAAGCCTTCGGGCGGAGCTCTCAAGCAAACCTCCAAACTATACAAGGCCTTAAGCGTCAGACTATTGAGCCAAAGGCTCCGGGTGGAGTCCCTCAAGCAAACCTCCGAAGCACAACGGCCACCTCGCGTGCGATTGCCCACCAATGCAAGCACATGCCTGCGCGCAAAGCACTCAACATCGGCTACCGGAACGTGCGCACACTACTGAACCGGAACTCGAGTGAGCGTCCTGAGTGACGCACTGCACTGGTCGCGATGGAACTGACCCGCTACAACATCGATGTTACGGCGCTCAGTGAGACTGGGCTCACTGAGCAAGGTAAGTTGCATGAAGCTGGTGTTGGCTACACATTTTACTGAGTGGGCAACGCTACTTCAGCACCACGTGAACATAGGGTCGGATTTGTACTGTCCGATCGCCTAAATGGCCAGTTGGTGGGTGAGGAAACAGGCATCAGCGCGCGACTAATGACCGTTCGTTTACGACTCGGAAGAGGTAAGTTTGCCACTTTTATAACCATGTACGGTCCGACCATGTGTTATCCTGATGATACGCGTGATCAAGTCTATACTCAGCGTTCCTTCGTGATACGGTCTGTGCCGAGAAGCGACCGACTATTTCTGCTGAGTGATTTCAACACGCGCGTTGGGCGTGATGCATCGGTGTGGACAGATGTCATCCGTGCGCATAGCATTGGTTTAGCGAATGCGAACGGTGACAGACTGCTCTCACTATGTGCCACTCACGGCCTGACGATCACGAACACTCGGTTTGCACTGAGTGCGAGTAATATGGCAACTTGGACGCACCCACGGAGTGGTCACGCTCACCTGCTCGACTATGTCATCGCACGTCAGGGTGATATGCGTGAAGTTCGCATGACACGTGTACTGCGTGGAGCTGAGTCTGGCACTGGTCACAAATTGGTGCGGACCAAACTGCAGATATATTTTCGTAAATCCATGTATTGCACTCCCGCCGTGAGTCCGCGTACATTTAACATTCTCTCCCTCGGTACTGTGGCGAAACGTATTGAGCTGGCGAAGGCGATGGCTGCACGACTGCGTGATGTGGAATGCATAGCCACAGTAGGCACCACCTTCGTAACCAGGTGACGGCTGCTGCCTTAGAGACCATCGGGCGGACAAACTGTAAGCGGCCTGATTGGTTTGGTGAGAAAGGTGCAACGATTGGTGCATTGATGTGTGAGAACGCATCGTTCGCTGCACATTTGGAAGACCTTGTGATTTGGGATAGAATAGTCACTTTTGGATAATATTGCTGTTTGTTTTCAACTGTGCGATTTTCGTTCACGGAGTGGATGAGTTGCAGCACGTGACTAATGCTCTGGCTTCCAAAGCGGCGAGATTCGTGCTCACCATCCACACAGACAGAACCGTCTGTCTTTTTCAGCCTTCATCGGAGGTGCAATCTGCGATATTGACGCAACTCAGCATTGGTGGCGAGGTCTTGGTAACCGTCTCTCGCTTCTGCTACCTTGGGAGTTTGTTTTCGATTGAGCAGCGAATATGCAGTGAGATGTGTGTCCATGTATCAATACCAGCGGCGGCATTTGGGTAGCTGGAATTCCGAGTGTGGAACAATCAGTAGGTTACTGTCGCTACGAAACTGGCGGTATAAAAATCCGTGGTGGTGTCCGTTCTTCTATACGGCAGCGAATCGTGGACGAGTTTTGCCATCTCGTGAGCGGTTCCATCAACAGTGTTTGCAACGGATTCTGCGCATCGGTTGGTGCGACAATTGCAGACACGGAGGTGTTGCGCCGAAGGGGAGTATGTGCAGTAGACTGCATACTTTTACTGGGACACATGAGGTGGCTCAGTCATGTGAGCCGTATTGGTTTGACGCGGATTCGGAAACAATTATTAGATGGTCAGCTGAATATCGGGAAATGGCATGCAGGGAAACCGAGGCTTCGTTACCAGCACATGTTTAAATTGATCCTATCACGTTCTAATTTTGATTTCAGGCCATGGGAATTGAAGGCGGTTGATCGGTGTGCATGGTGAGATCTGATGACGTTGGCATTTACTGAGGTGCAATAGAGAGCCCCCATGCATGCGGAAAAAAGCGGCAGGTGCGGAAGTGGCAGACGCCTATGACCTTTACTTCATCGACGTCCAGCGCTTGGTGCTGTAGCACATGCGGTTCCGCGTGCCTGAGTCAGGCAGGTCTAGTTAGCCACGAGCGAGGCAACTCAGGTCCAGGATCGAAACGACGATGGTTGCTGCTGAGAACGTAGACAGAAACAGCACAGCTTTGGTAGGTACGCTGCATTCGAGTTACTGACGGCGTGCTTGCGTGCTGAGTTTCTTTATTTAAGATGATTGGTTTACTATGGTATCTCGATCCATTTGTTACCCCATCTTAATGTTTACCGGAATAAACTTTTATCAACTTGCACATGCCGCTTAATCTAATTGTGGTTAAGTACGTTAATATTTGCGCGTTTGTGACGTTTTCAATATATATATATATATATATATATATATATGTATATATATAGCAAATTATTCGCATTATAGCAGACTGTTGGATTTCGAATTTCGAAATATTCCCTACAGGTTAAAAACAATGTGGAAACGCTTTTTACCCAATGTAGTCCCCCACATTGTTGAAGCTTCGGTTTCTTCTTGTAAATGTTTTCGTGGTTCATAAACACTAACTAGGCTTAAAGAATGTACACTGATGATGCTTATCGGTGATTAATCGACTGTTCTTCTATTCCTCAGACGACAAGGGTTGACCGATTTCATGTGGTTCAGTTGAAATGCCAGTTGACCAGGGCATGATATGCTAATTCTAAGTTGAAGGATAGTTTCTTTTACTATAAAAGAGTCATAGCAATATACTAGTGCCACCTGTAAACATAACATGTCAGCAATAAACGTTATGAAATCTTATGTGATGAATTGAATTGTCTGAGTTTCCGCTTTCATTCAAGCAGATTCCCGAAGTTTCAGAACTTGCAAAAATGCTGACAACCACGCAGGCTTTGAGTGTAGATAACACTCTGACTCGAAAACATGGTAAGTGCATACTGTTTAATCTGGGTGTCTCTTGAGGTTTATGTCTAGCTTACAATGCATGGGGCCTTAGTTATGCTAGCTTTCACTTGTCCATAGGCAAGCCGCTCTCACATCACATACCGTCCAAAGGTTCATGCAAAAAAGTGCATTAGGCACTTTACCACTTTTTGGGGTACGGCGTGAATAATCTCACCATCGGCGCAAAAGCATTCAATGATTATCAGTGCTATGTAGCTATAGAGCTGACTGAGTTCCTAGTATCACATATTAACCAATTGGATAGTCCAGCTAGAATCAGCTTCCCTCCAGCCTCGAAGCCATACATGATAGTTCTGTAAGATTGCGCTGGAAACCGCTGTAGTATATTGCTACACTTAGACTTGTTCAGTTATTTTAGCAAAACAGTGTAAAGAAAGACAAGTGAAGCTCTTTTTCTCAGTCTTGTGTCATCAAGATTAAAAGTGCTTTCGATTTTGAAGCAGCATAGCTTATAAAAAACACGCACGGACGACTGAAAGATAACCCGATGTGCAAGTAACTTAAGTAATACCATCCTGCATTGGTTCATCGACGGCCCCTTTGAACCGCAGCACTAACCATGCTGCCGATCTGTCACTAAAGTCGTGCACAGCTTCCTAGACCCCAGGGTGACTTCAGGGCACTTGCAGCGATTTATGACAGGCACTCAAGATGTACGGCAAGTACTGTTTGATTCAATATAAGTCAGAAGCCGCATCATTACGGGAATATATGATTCCCACTATGAAGGAGTGAGAGTTTTGTGTTACTGACACACCGACTTAGATACGCATCACAACAACTCTCCTGGTTGTTACCTCAACGAATTGATCGGTTGAACACAGCATTGCTGTACGAGTAGGGCTCGAGTGGAATTCTTAGAAATACGAAAGATAAGGCCGTGTTACCATGAGATTGTGCTGCTGAATCACTAGCGAATGGCGCTGGTGACGTTTGGTGTCCAGTTACTCCTACGAAGAGCTCTTGACACATCTAGTCAAATATTTTTTCTCTTCTGTATACAGAAATATGTTCGCAAAGATGGTTCCTGAAAAGTCGTTTTCGCAATTTTTACTAGCACACTCGATGCCAGTTTGCATTTTTAGTTGGTGGTCTCATTTCACCCTTGGAAGACAAATGTTGCCTTGCTTCCGGATCAGACTACAGTATCTTGGTGATTAGCCCAGGTCCCATCCTTAAGTTCGCGAATATTCACAGAGATGCAATTCCCACATGATGATTTCCAGAGTTCTTGATTCCTAATTTGAGAGACTGTGTCCGCATGACTAGATTGAATAGAATCCAGCTCTACAAGATTAACGCGGGATGATGTTAGTTCACCATTCAGCAGGAATTAGATGTACGCATGGAGCAAAATTACTTGAAGTGTGGAAAATGTAATGTGAGACAGAACAGATCATTTCCAGCTAAACCATTTAGAATACGTTTCCAAACTAACTGGAGATGGCGGAATGAGTCTGCATTAATTGCAAGCCATCACAGGGAATGATTTTATGCTGCTTGGTTTAAGATATAACATGAGTCGAGATGACAGTCCTTTATGTTTGTCTTCGTTTCAAGTCCTTACTGAATACCAAGCGCTTAACAGAAGGCGGTCAGAGCAGACGGTGGAGCCTCCTAATCCAGATATGTTTGAACATGTTGGGATCAGAGATGAACTTGTGAAGGAGAACAAGAAGAAAGAACCTCTTCCCGGCTCAAAATTGCTCAAAGCGGAGAAGTTCTTGTATTACCGAAATATTTGTGATGAACCGAGTGAGTTTTCTAAATCATATATTTCGTTAAGCGATAGGTCATAATAATTGCAGATACTTTCGGATATGCTCAAGGTAACATTAGATTATTTACCCTGTAGACACCATGTAAACCTGCTGGTTTGCGCGGATATATGAGAGCTTCCATCAAATTGTTAGTTAATACTTAATATAATATTAACTGGAAGTAACAAAACACTGTAATTTTGCGATATGCTCTTATTCTGGAGGCAATGCTTATTAGTTTGGCAAGGACGGTATAAGTTTTACCTCATCATGCGGATGGAACAGTGTGAGTTTAGCTTTAACAATCCACCGTAATTGTGATCATTGAATGCATCGTTAGTCACAATTTAATGGATGAAGCATGTGTTTACGGAAAGCTGAGTAGTGGTCTTAGCCACCGGCAAACCGATCTATTGAGTAGAGCTGACGGTAACTAAAGCCAGGACGAGACCTTCAGACTCATGGCATTACAGTCGTGCGGAACGGACCGATGTGTTAAACTCCCCACTGATTGGTCAAGTTTGTTAACTCCAGTATGTTGCTCATCAAAAGTGGCTGTAAAAACAATCAGCAGTTCGTCCATAAATGATAATTTCGATGTTACACTGACACCTTTAAAATTGCGAGCCATCAACCGCTGTTGTATGTTCGATGTTACCATTGTTGGACACCCTTGTTCGAAACGAAACCTGATTGATTTTCGAACCGATGACCCAATGAATATCAACTGTCAGGTCTGGTTAGTAAATTGTCCGACAGGACGAACATCGCCTGCAATAGCTGTTACGAGTTTTGCTTATGTGTGGTAAATGTGTGGTCGGATTATTAACGGGAGGTAGAAAATAGCCACTGGAACTGCCACAGACAAAGAACGAACTGTGTCGTATTTCAAACGCTTTTGACTCAAACCAAATCACCACTGGTAAACTGGCCTTCTAAGGCACCCACGGGTTGATGCGGTTGCTTTGAAACACTGGTTACGCAAATGGACAGTGGGCGTGCGATCTCAATTACGGCCTGTACAGATGAAAAATAGTAACATTTACTCATAGCAAAAGGGTTTCCAGGTGGCGCCATATTAGAGAAAGAAATCAAATGCGTTGCTCCTGACTTGCTACCAAAAATTCACTGGAGACCTTTTTAATTATAATTGCATAAGCCACCCAGTGTAACATTGCATAGACTTTCCTTCAGGCTCGCGGTAGTACTCGTGTGGACAAATAGCGTGTCAAGCAAGCAACGCAAAGGTGACTGATGGATTACGTGACTACCAAGTCAAAATAAGTGTGTCTGTTGACCTTCGTGAACATTTGTAACCGGCTCACTGATGTCAATAGCAAAATCCATGATGCGTCTACCATAGATGCTCAAAGCCTGTGCCCCATCGTGCTTCTACCAAGAGGCAGCGTGCCGTGTACTGGAGACGCGCTTGACTGCGCAAATGCGTGTTCCGCAGACAAACTGAGAACGGGTAAATAACGCTGCTCTCTCAAACTTATTAAACTGACCGGATTAAACGGTTATCTAAAATTGCCAGTATCGTCAGTTTCTTTCAAACTGTTACTTCAGCTAACCTGAGTGTTTTTAACTCGACTAGGATCACATGAATAGTCCGTGAGTGTATCGACGCTGTGGTCCGGAAGAGCACAGTGTACACAAGTTCTCGGTAGGCACTGTTCTCTTCCTTGAAATGGCTAGCACACAATCTTACATTTTCAGCTGAATGCGGACGCACTTTCTGAGCAGAGGAGCCCACTTAATAGGGGTCAGTTGGCAAAGCAAGATGATACAAGGTTGTGACTTCCTAGTTTCTACACACTGACTTCACTGACATCGAGTTGAGACTATTCGCCCCTTGGATTTTCTATTGGCATGTTTTCGATGGAAACTGAACTGATCGAAACCGTAGAAATCACACGCTAATGTCTAACTTCCTCGAGTTTCGTCATACCTCCGTTTCTCTTAAGGGTTAAGCTTACCTCACTACCGATAGTTTTTCTACATTCCATCGAATTTGCCTACTCACGAATGATCAACATCTTGGATGATCTTTCAAAATATTTTGCCTCGTCTCAGATGACTTATTAGGAAGAACACACACCTTCCTATTTGGACTTAGGTTTAGAAACGCTTTGCTATTCAGTATTTTTAGCTAATGAACCAGGCGTTTTTCAATATACTTATTACTATCTTGTTCATTCGCAGAACAGCGGAAGTCCGTCCCCCTGGATGCCGTTGCACAGGCTAAACGAAAACGCCTGAGAGGTCTTGATCACCTGTATGCGTCGCGTCCGCGCTCAGGCAAGCTGGACTGTTCCAGCGAGTTTGGTACCGGTGCAACCGTGCGCAATGTAAAACAGGCCATAATCGAAGACCCTGTACGACGGATGACACTGTTCACCAGCATGATTGGCGGTCCCGAGGTTGGTCAGCTGGAACTGCGCCTCACCCGTGGCATTCGTTTGCAACCATGTCGCGTAGAGTGCGGAAGAGTACCGGCAGGAAGCACACGGTTTTATTGTGTTCGCTTGGTTAACTGGGGACCAGAAAACGCGTATTTCCGCGTCAGACAGCCTCCTGAATCCAGCCGTTTGCGTGTGCTCTATACACCAGGGCCGATCCCGGCAGGTTCGTTGTAACTGTATTCACCTCAATATGGAAGATAAATTCGATGGAGGATGAGGTTATCAGCCACGGATTGAAACACATGCCTACCGTATTGCTGCAATTGTAAAGTCCCGTTGTTCTAACAGTTTTCCTTCTCAAAAGATGCCATCGTATCCCATGACACACTAAAGAAGGCAGTACGAATAAGAAAGGTGAAGAGATGGGAACAAGATTTATTCAGATCCATAACGAACTAATTCACTGGTGACTATAAAGCTACTATTCTCAATTTTCGGCTTGCAGGACCTGTTGTGTGTTTGGGATGTGAGGTGCGCTGCAAAAGAAGCACCCGACAAGTACTCCAATCCGGAAAGTGGAACATTAACCAATGTCAAGGAAGTCACTGAGTCTGAGATATTAGTGGTACAGGCCGGTAATCATGGCGTTCAGGTTTTGCTTCTCACCCGCGATTGTCCGTGTCTGTATAGTCCAGCTAGTGACGAACCCGGTAATGTTAGGAAAGAATGATTTCAAAAATGCACCTTCTAAGTATATGCATTATATTTTTTCCATTGTATCAACATCACAACATCCACGGGTATGGGAGGACGTAATCAGCACATCCTAAAACTATGTTGTCTACGTTGCTATCTAGGTTTATTGATGTTTGAAGTTGTGAGAGGATATGCAATTACTAGGGCTTACTCGGTAGTAATAAGTAATCCTGATATATGATGAGGTGCATTTCTAACTTCAAGGTATTAAGAAGAAACTGAACCATAGAAGGATACCTGAGGCTCATTTGATTATTCAACCAACATTTGCTTCCATCGCAGATGAACCACAAGCATGAGCCAATTACGCACCAACGAGATAAGTGCTGGGTGTTGCTCGCCCTAAACATCGCACTCCACTACCAATTATGTCCATATTTGGACAATTCCGGAAGGGATAACCGTAAGTGTGAGTAGATCCCAGCCTGACGCCCTAATCACTGTAAAACGGAGCTCTGCAAACCGTGTTTGGTATAGCTGACAGAAATCCGCTCTAAATGTAGTTACTGGATGCACACAAAAAGCCCAACAATACTTACCAAATGTATTGCTCCCAATGACCAATGTGCTGTCACAGACAGCGAATGCTGGGTAGATGAATATAGCAAAGTGCAATGATGTCCCGCTGACGAACACCTAAGGGATCGTATAAATTATCATTCGATGTATCTCTAGTCGGTCCCATTTAACATGCAGCTTATTGGTCAAATAGCCGCAATCCTGTTATATGGTGTAAATCATTAATGTAACCGTAAAATGAATACTAGCTTTGCGTTATGGCGCTACTGCACCAATTGTTGCGCTGTCTTTAATGTACTTACCGTTCCCATCGTTTGTTCTTTCTAGGACTTTCTCGTGACCTGAGGATCAAATTGACAGTCCCACGGACGGCAGAATGTCTTTCGTCGACGGATTCGCAAGCACAGCTTGTTCAGTGGAGGGATGATCAAGCAAAAGTAGCCGAAAGTGCCTTTCATGATGAACCGGTGGTGCATACTTTCACAGAGTACATTCAGTTGACCACCGACACACACATCATTCACATTCCCGTTAGCGGTGAAATTGAGTACAAGGAGTGATCATGTTCGCCATATAAATTGCACTAATATCTGATTGTTGTCTGCTTACCACAAATCACTGGACAAGTTGGCGACGGGTCATAAAAAATTACTCGGATAAAGGGGTTCTTAAAAGCTGCTTGATGAAAATATTCTCTGACCAGCTTCTATGAACCCCAACAGAAGACCATCGCAGCTGATCGACACCTGCCGCAGATTTCCTGCACTGCTACTAAAATTAACTCAAATTATTCCATAGAACAGGTCCCGTTGGATGGCTTGCGTGAATTACGTGAGCTCATAAAAGTGACACTATAGCGAAACGCGCATATGTGAACTCACAATGACATCAACGTTATCACACAATTAAGGCCATTTATTCCGATTTCGTGGGGGGTTGGTGAGCACAATGTTTGTCTGCGTCTTGTCATCATTCAATGAATAGAAATCAGATCAAGTAATGTAAATGGTGTAAAGCATCGTCGAGTCGTTGTTGAAAATGGGTAGCTTGGGCGCGGAAATGACGAAAGTCGAAAGAGCATTCCACAGCTGACAAATAGCAAGAGAAAACTGATTCCGGCGGCATTCCAGCAGGCTGTATCGTATGGCCAGCTTCAGCTGATAACCCCTAAATTTAGTGTTGCGGCTGTTTCAAAATTAATCAAGGCACGCCTCGGGACCATAGTCAGTACGAATCAGTTTATCGGACCAAAACTTAACCACATGAATCACATGACACGCGGGTTAAAACATGAGGTGAAGAGTTACTGAATGGTTAATGCGAGGCTAACCAATAAGAATGCAGTGTAGATGAGTTGAACGAATCAATAGCACAGACGCAAGCAACACTCCCTCCTTTCTTGATGTTCATAGTCCGTGAACGAAAGGTTCAACAGATTTAGGTACATGCTGAGATCTGCGAAGTGGTGCACAGTATGGTATTTGCGATGTATCGTGGGTGGTTACTTCTACCGTTCGTTGCATTGAGTCATATATATTTCCCTCCGCTTCTCGTGTTTCCACGGACTCTGGCGTATGTGATCTGAATGTCGCCTCAAGACGCGATCATTTGACTCTAGGTCAGCCAGGGTACCATCACTTTTGACGACGGTTACGGGCTGCCATGACTGTTCGTGTGGAAGTCGTGTATACACGGGATCCCCCGGTCGGAAAACAACATCGTGATCCCTGTCTAACGTAGCTGTCTTGTTTTGTTTCGCTTCTACTTGCGCTCGACGATTAGAAAATAATAGGTGTAATCTAGTACGAAGTGTTCTACTGAACACCAATTTTGTGGTGGATTTATCCGTGGCTTCTGTTGGGGTTATTCTGTAGGCAAAAAGCAATCGGTCTAATCGAGTATGAATGCTTCCCGATACCTGCTTTAGCAAACGCCTCTTTTACCGTCTTCACCGCCCTATAGGCTAATCCGTTTTAAGTAGGATGATATGGGGCTGTACGTCCGCGTTGAGTACCATTGCTTTGCATAAAGCTTTCAAACTATTTACTGATAAAACAGGACCCACTATTTATACAAACAGTTTCAGGTATCTTTTTTAGATCACTAATGAGGTATTCCAAAAACTGCAATCAATGGTTGAATATTTGAAATAGATATTTCAGCCGGGGGATGAGACACTGGATAAACATCGACCCATTTCGAATAGGCATCACCTATCAACAGGAAAAATGCTGCATTCAAAGGACCAAAATAGTCTGCATAAATACCCTGCCATGTCTTTTCTGGCCAACGCTAAGGGTGTATTGGACCTGGAGGTTTATTCGATTTATTCAGTTGGCAGAGATCACACTCTTTCAGGTACTCTTCGATTTCGAAATATAACCTAGGCCACTATCAATAGCCGCGTGCAAGAGCTTTCATTCGGGCAACACTTGGATGTCCAGTGTGAAGTTCAGTTATAACGACCGAGCGCGTTTTCGACGGTAAAACCAAATGTGAGTCCCAAAATAAGCATTGTGTATATTCAGCTCAGCTTTGCAAAGTCAAAAAGGTTTAAAATCAGTCGAAATTTTCATGCAAGCAGTTCTCTTTAGAAATTTCAACAAAGCAAGAAACATTGCGGGATAAGTTATCGGACGACCAAGACCAATAGAACTCATTTTTCGTGCCAATGAGTGTCAAAGCCAAACTCATAAACCTAATACGAATTACTCGTCATCCGAACTCGCCACAATATGGAGAACCCATACTTATTCGAGTGACCCTAGAATCCTTCACCGACGTTGAAACCGTTTTGTTTGCGCAAGCGCGCTAAAACACGGACCCAGTGGGATACGCATCTATCCTATGTCCCTTGGAGCGCAAGACAAACAAAAAGAAACACCGAAGAGGGAAACAGCAAGCAAGACCGCCTAAACGCAATCTTCATACATGGCGTGCCAGAACATTCTTCTAACGATGTTCAAGAGACCGGAAAGCACGATTTAGAACAGCGACGGTTTATTCGTGCAACAATTTCTTTGGATAATATTGTAGCGATATCACTCACCTGGATACCTCTCTCACCAAATTATAGAAAATGCGGCCCTAGAATCCTAAAACTTGTGGTTCAGTCAGAGCAACAAGCAACGGATGTTTTGGATCGATGGCGGAGAAATCGGAAACGTCTTCCTTCTGAAGTTGGTTAAAGGTCGCAGAAGCTTTGCACAGCTCAAATATTAAAGCACCTGAAGCATCAAGCATACCGACGAATGTACAAAAGCGTAACTTGACTGCTGCTTTAAGTGACTCTGAGGTAGTTCTAAACGAAGATTGGGACGCACCTTGGCTGAATCAAGTTTCAAACAAGGTGTCATTATCCCATCAAAAAGCGATAGCTGCCGACCTCCCATCGGTCGGCATTCTCTTGACCCATTTAGCCCTCTGTGGGCTCCTAGAGACCGAGAAACTGGCCTGCTTGTATACGAATGCTCAGGGACTTTTTAATAAACTGGCGAACTGAAAGATCGCCAAGCTTCCGGGTCATATGATGTCATTGGTATCACCGAGACGTGGTTGCACACGGGAATGACGGACGCTGAAGTTTCGCTACCGGGCATGTCGCTGATCCGGAACGACAGGCTCACAAAAGGAGGAGGGGTAATCCTGTATTACCGAAACGACTTACAGTGCGAAGCCGTGGAGGATTCAGACTCGCAGTTCCCCGACTCTCTTTGGTGCCGCTTGCAGTTAAAAGGCAGGGACGCTTGCCTTATTGTCTTGGTGTACCGCCCCCTAACTCTACATCAGAAAACGACTGCCACCTAGCGGCTGCTTTAAGATGCAGTTTACAGCGAAAGTACACTCACATACTTATCATGGGTGATTTCAACGTACATTGTGTAGAAACTCCTGCCACGATCGGAGAACAATTCAAAGCCGATCTACAAGATCTCGTAATTTCTGTTCCTGTTCACGATCACATCATTTTGCCCACTCGGTTCAGAACAGGTAACAGGCCATCCGTGCTGGATCTTGTGCTTACCGACGAGGAGCATATGATTGATGTTTTGTCTGTGGGCTGTCCGTTGGATCGCTGTGATCACGCAGTGATCAGTTTCAACTTCGTCTGCTATGCAGAATATCGGAATGAGAACGATGAGACTGTGCGAACCATCACAAGCTACGATCGATTAGCCCAGCTCGTCAGCGCCACAACTTGGTCGTTCCTTGACGAAGAACCCCCGGAAGTCGCCTGGCTCGAGTTCGTCAACAAATTCAGTCAGCTGATTGCAGAGGCTTCAGAGATAAGAGTTTGCAATAAGTGTACATCAGTTTCTTTCGTTAGAAGCAGAACTCGAAAATGGATGACAGTACGCAACGTAGCATGGCGAGTGTACAGAGAAGCTCCAGCGCCAGAAACTTGGGACAACTACGTAGCCCAACGTAACCACTGCACTCAACTGCTAAGAGAAGACAAAGCCGCCTATCAGCAGAACATCGCAAAAACCTTCAGTGCTAACCACAAACTGCTGTACAAGCACGTCAATAGCCTACGAAAGGTGAGGCAAGGATTTCCTCCACTCAGGACGGCTGATGGCCCAACAAGAACGGCTGTGGAAGCAGCAAACGCGCTGCAGATGCAATACGCCCCCACGTTTCAAAGGGTCTTGCCACCAAGCGATCTACCAACCTTTGTCGTCTGCTCGCCAGGACTAACCCACATCACTTTTACCGCGGAGGCTGTATTGCAAAAGCTGACGTCTCTACGCAAACACAGCTCGCCGGGTGTCGACACCATTCGTCCAGAGGCACTGGAAGCAGCAGCAAGCCAACTGGCAGGACCTTTAGCTCAGTTTTTCCAGCGCTGCTTAGACCAGAATCAAGTTCCCGCTATGTGGAAGCTTGGAATAATAACCCCGATTCACAAAGGTGGAAGCAGAACTGATCCCTCCAACTACCGCCCAGTATCCCTTCTTCCTATACTCTCCAAGGTCATGGAATCCATAGTTGCCGATGTACTGGTGTGCTATCTGGAAAACTGTAACATCATCATGTCTGAGCAGCACGGTTTCCGTCGACAGCGGTCATGTACAACGAATTTACTAATCGCACGCAGTAGTTGGACCGAGGCAGCTGACGCTGGAGAAGGGGTTGATGTGATCTACCTGGATTTTTCCAAGGCTTTCGATCGTCTAGACCATCGGATACTACTCTCCAAGCTCCAGCATTACGGGATCGGCGACCCTCTTTTAAGCTGGATTGCCAACTTTCTACTTCAACGGCAATTAGTGGTCAGAGTTCGGAGCTCTTTATCGGAACCCATACAAGTCGAGTGTGGTGTGCCGCAAGGCTCAGTTCTAGGTCCACGTTTGTTTTTGGTGTTTATTAATGACCTTGCACAGGGAATCGCTTCAAACTTCCTAATGTTTGCCGACGATATCAAGATCTGGCGCAGGATCCAGGAGAACGCCGACCAGCATCTGCTTCAGAGTGACCTAGATACGGTGTATCAATGGTCGACCCAAAACTTACTGCATTTCAACGTCAGTAAATGCAAGATGCTTTCCATCCGACATCAGAGCAGCTACTCATACCGACTCGGAACGGATGTACTGCAACAATCAACTCTCGAACGTGACTTGGGTGTCCTGGTTCAAGA